TACAGAATTGCTAAGGCATAGAGAGAACTGTGAGTTTGGCCCACCATGAAGAATTATTTGTACTCAAAGCAGCTTGGGATATAAACAACTGAAATGCCTAAAGTTAGGAACACCCCTGGTGTTATTACTAACAGTGTAATATTCTGCCAAATTAAAGGCTTTTTCCTTACCAAAACTTGAGAAAATGATAAGAACTGCTCTGTAACCAAAGGAAGGCCCTCTATATGATGGCTGAATAGAAGAAGAGATGAGAAGGCTAATTCATGCTTGTGATTCTTCCTTGATGACAAGGACACAGAGAGGATTAAAGTCCTCCTGCCTGTCACTGTCTGTCAGAGGGCTCCCACTGAACTCAGACACTACTGTCTGTTCTCACCTGCCTATCAGATTCGTTTTCAAGGGAGCTGCTGGCCCTGTGAAAAAGTATTTGACTTTTTGGGAGAATGGCTTCCTCTAATGTTATCTTCTATACACAATAGTAAATTTTCATTTACTCATTCATTCAACAAATATTTATCGAGCGTTCAGTCAATGCTCTACAAGCTGGGAATAGTGCAGTGAATAAAATATACTAAATGGTCAGTAGCTCCCTGTTCAGGGAATAAAGTAGTCTGCTTAGGGAATTCTGCTTATAAAGCACAGTACTTAATTCTGTGCAAAGGATCCTAAGGATCACACACACGCACACACACACACGGCAAATTTTGGTGGCTGAAATAATAGCAAAGTGGATTCTACAACATATACAGTCTCAATTTTAAGATAGTGAAAAACAATGATTCATTTAAAAAAAAATTACTCTTTCAAAAAGCTTTTCAGATGACATGTACCTTCCTGGTAGAACAAGTTAATGCAGCTTGACAAGTAATCCACACCATGCTGGATACATTAGCATATGACGCTGATTTTAATGAGCTAAAGGTCCTAGAATACAATCTTCATGCTCCTTAAGGTGAAAATTTGATGGAAGCAAGATGTAATTCAAAAAACTTGGTCTAAGTTCACATCAGGAAATTAAAATTCTAGGTCTTGCTGGGTTACAATGTTGGAGAAGAACCATCACAGTACATTCAAAAGCAGGAAACACTAGCAGTGGCAACCCTTTCAGGGGCTTGCAGCCACCCCCACCTCCTGGAGACAGGCTCTTAGCCTTCAGAGTCAAGGGCTCAAAGTAAGGTGCTGAGGACTGAAAGCAGGGGACTAAGGTGTTGGGAAATTTAATTAGCATGTGTGAAACCAAACTGGCCTATGGATGAAAGCCACTCCAAAAGTGTGAAGAATTATGATTGCTTTTCGAGAACTCCCATTTCCCCAAATGAACAAGCCTGTAAAAAGATGAGCTAGTTTTTTTTTTTTTTTTTCCCCCTAATATATATTTCTCAAGTTTTTTGCTGGTAAGGCACAGCTTTCTCTAACAAACTTTTATCTTTCCCAAAAGTAAGATTTATCTTGGTATAGTCATCTGTCCATGTTGCAAGGCCTACTTGACCATGACTAAAGCTAGTACATGGATCTATAATGGAAGCATCACCTTTTGGATCAAATGTCACATTTTATAGCAGAAATTCTATAACTCAGAGAGAGACTTTTTGAAGTTTCCAAGAAATCTTTAATTCACTTCAACAAGCATGTTGTAGAGCAAAGGCTAGAAATGAGATTGAGGAAGACTTTACCCTCCAAGGGCTAACAATCTCGTTTAGGGTGTTGTACAATCTACTGTATAGTCAAAGACATATTGAAATAGTTTTAACATAAAGTACATCGTGGCAAGTGCTAGAATAGATTAATTCCAGTCAGTAGGTTTAGAGCAGGCTTTCACAGGAGGGATTTGAGCTGCACTTTGAAATATGAATGGGACTTTCAGAAATGAAGATGAGGGGAAGAGCATTTGGAACAGAAGAAAGATGTGTTTGGGAGGACAGTTGGTAGAAATATGACTGAAGCACATGGAGGCTGCTGTGGGAGATTGGTTGGAAAGATAGATGAAGGCCAAGTCCTCTCAGATTAAGAACTAGGACTTTTATCTGAAGGTAGATGGAAGGGGTTCGGGGGAAGGCAGAGGAAAACCAAGGGGAGCTTTTGAACAGAGAAGTCCCATAACCTGGGTTAAGCTTTATAAAAATAATTAGCAAAATTATATAGGTTGGCTTGAAGAAAGGAGGGACAATCAGGAGTCAATTGACAGGTTCAGAAGAGAGATGAGATGATTAGGACCCTGCAGAGACATGGCAAAAGGAATGCCAGAAGTAAAGAAGGGACAGGCATGGGACACACCACAGAGGCCAATTGCTGGAATCTGGCCTGTTACTAGATCTTGAGGAACAGGTAGTCTCAGATGATTCTCAGTTTTGAAGCCTGAGGAGGAAACAGATGGTAAGATGGGAATAAAGGAGAGAAATAATGGCATGCAAAATTGACTAGAACTATGATGAGAAAGAACGGCAAAGTATGGATTCCACATACCCATCAGATAAAGAAATGATGTAAAATATTAACAAATAATTCTTCCAGCTTTGGCCTACTTGCCGCCTACTTGAAAATAAGATGACACCTTAAATGCCTTAAGGTGATGATTGAAGGAGGAAAGTCAGAGGATCCTGCATAATCCTGACAGTATCTACTGGGAGACAACATAGCTCAAGGTAACTTAAGTTATTGTTAGTTGCTATCAAGTCAATTCTGACTCATGGTGACCCCATGCGTACAGTGTAGAACTGCTCCATGGGGTTTCCAAAGATGTGACCTTTTGGAAGCACATCACCAGGCCCATTTCTGAGGCACCTCTGAGAGTGGATCTGAACCACCAACTTTTCACCTAATAGTTGAGTGCTTAACTATTTATGCTACACTGGGACTCTCTCTCTCTCTCTCTCTCTCTATTTATTTAAAGGCATATACACACATACATATAATTTTCAGCTTGCCTTTAAATTTTCTCCCTTTCTATGCCAGAACATACAGATTCTCCTCATCCTTTTAAGTGTCCACACTTGCTATAGTGTATGGATAAGCCACAATTTATCAATCCGTCTCTGAAGGACAGTGAGTGGTAAGAATGCATCACTGTTATCTAAAAGTAAGAATGTGCAGGAAAACGTTGATGCTTATGGGGCTGGATGGGCAAGTAGAGCACGACGGCTTGAGCCCTGGTACCGGCAGTGATTGGGGCAAGTGGCTGCAGCCCCCCAGTGAGACTGTTCATGGACTGGCTGTGCCTAAGCCTGGTGTCCCTGTGGCTGGAGGAGATGACGTGGATGCTGTGAAGCATGTTCATTTGCTCCTTGTACATGAACACGGTAGTGGCCAAGTGGGCTGGAGATGGCCGTGGGTGGCAGGAAGGAGATCCACCCATGATATATGTGTGTAACAGAGAGAAATTATGTGGATCACTCCAGGCTGTCTCTGTTTAGAGTTAACCCTGATCAGGGAACAGAGATTTTCTGAACAACAGCATTGAGAAACTGGGCTGGCTATTTATCTATCATTCATTTGCGTCATATGTTTGTAGGTTGTTTATGTCTAGAACATCTACCAAGGGGTTGTAAGCAAGAGGATCAATAATAGTGTTTTTACCAGATCAATTTCCAGACTGGAAAACCCATAGATTTCTTGATTTAGGTGGTCGAGATGGGGAGGTCACAAAAATCATGAGCCCTCATTTTGAAGAAATTTATGCCACTGAGATATCTGAAACTATTATATTGCAGCTTCAGAAAGAGAAATGCAGAATGCTTGATACAAATGAATGACAGAACATAGGGTTCCAGCATGATGTCATCAGCTGCTTGAATTTGCTGGATCACGGTGATTAGTCCCTCACGTTGTTTAAAAATGTCAGAAATATCTTGCTGTCAACTAGAAGCAGGTTCACCTTTGCCCAGGTCCTGCCCTTTCATCCCTATGTGGAAATTATAGGTGGCAAATGGGAGAAACCACCAGAAATTATGGAAATCAAGGGATAGAAGTCTGTCAGAAGTTTTGAAAAAGCTGGCTTTGTTATCAAAGCTTTCACTAGACTACCATACCTGTGTGAAGGAGACATGTACAATGACTACTATGCTCTGGACGATGTTGGCTTTGTTCTCCAACCATTATAAACATGTGGAGTTTGAAGTTTTCACAGTCTGCCCTAAGAATGCACCCTCCAGAAAGGGTCTGTGCTTGCAATTATGCAAAGAAAGGGCCTTCGGGGACTGCCATTCTAAGTATCATGTAGGATTTTCAAAAGCCAAAATACTAATTGTTTCCTTGTAGTATGTAAAAAAGAATAATAATAATAAAAAACAGAACTCTGAGGATTTTTATCAGCTCTTTACTCAGTAATTTGGGTCACATTTCAATCATGATGGAAGATTATTTTATACCTAATTGCAGTAGAGACTCATTCCCAGACAAAGCAATAGTCATGACTTCACATGGTACAGATACATGCATTGCTTTCAATAAAACAAACACTGGCAATAAAGCTGTCCATTCAGTTCCAAATATTGATTGTGAGGTATTGCCACTGATATTTTTCCAAGTTTAGAAATTCCTTCTCTCTGTCATTATTCAAGAAAATGTTTTCAGTTATGTTAACAACCTTTTTTGGAGATGAGGAAAAAAAGAAAAAGGTTGATGCTTCATATCACCCTGTAGCTAATTTCCTCCTGGAAGGCGGGGGCACAGAGACACAGACAGCAGGTAGCTACCCTGGCATGCTCCTCTATTCCCCCCCAAACACAAGCAAGCATACACTCTTCCTACCAGGCAGAGTATTTGCTACTAAGTCCATAATCTGACAGGTATACTTTGATGCTTGTTTGGCACTTCAGTAGAAGCATGGACATGATGGGCCACCATGACTGAGATCATGCTAGGAGCCCCAAGTTAGGGCCAGGACCAAGACATGCTTGCCAGTTAATCTCCACAGTGAATGAATAAATATCACAATAAAAACTGCTTAATGGGCAATAACATAGATCAATTCTAGGCATTTATGAAATTTCAGTTCAACATACCTCAAACTCCAGATAATGGTCTTTCAGTTTGTATTCATCAATCTCCTTGGCTTTGACTTTCTTGTCAGGGGGATATGAGCGATGCTCAGCCAGCTCAGTGGTGATCTGCTTCAGCTTGCTTTCATGTGATTTCAATTGTTCCTCCTGCAGGAAATTGTTATGCCATTCAGTGCCCAGAAAAGGAATCAATAAAAAAAAAAAAAAAAAAAAAAAAGTAAAGTATTTAAAAAAAAAAATCCCTTATGATGAATGACTATAATTCATCAAAATAGCCCATTGTGCCTACGTGGTGACATCTTATCAATTTTCTCATGCCATTGTTCACATATTCCTTCCCAGGATAGCAACCAAGGCCACCCTCCTTACTCATTCCCCTTTCTGTAATACCACATATTTTCAGAGACTGTTATCAGGTATAATTGTCACCAAACTTGAGACCTGACCTGGTAAGGGGCACCTCAACAAACAAGGTACCAGGTGAACAGTTAAGAGCGCCTTGCTTGAGAACCCAGCAATGCTGTCAGTTTCCTCCTGGCATCATAACAAATGAAGAATCTATTTATTTATTTTCCCTTTTTGAGATAAGCAATGCTACAAAGAAATAATTCTTCTCTGATACCTATCAGATAGTATTTTTTTAAAAAAATGAACCTATTCCTGCTTTTTTGCTCCAAAGTAGCAGAGGTTTCTTACTTCTTTCAACTTTACTGATCTAAAGTAGTTCTTGGTTAAAATATGCCAAAAAACCAAAGCCAAACCCATTGCCATTAAGTCAATTCCAACTCACAGGGACCCTATAGGACAAGGTAGAACTGTCCCAGACTGTTTCCAGGGCTGTAATCTTTATGGAAGCAGACTGCCAAATCTTTCTCCTAACAACAACTGGTGGGAATGAAACACTGACCTTTTGTTTAGCAGCTGAGCACTTAATCACTGTGCCACCAGGGCTCCTTCAGTTAAAGTACCAAACAAAAAACCAAACCCACTGCCAATGATTTAGTTAAAGTATACTGTGTGATTACTGTCTGAGCAGGGTCATTAACCACCATGCAACAATGCAATGTGGTTGATCCTACGTCAAAGGATTTCCATTATAGGGATACCATTTTTATTACCTTAGCAATGTTACTTAAATAGATAGATAATCATACTTTCTGGCAGCATTTTCAAAACCTTCTTGAAACAACAAAATTAGAATTCTCTTACATTCCTAAAATTGTATGGCCATTAACTATTCCATTTTCACATGTAAATTATCCATAGTCTTATTGACCATAATTTTTACATGTACAATAAGAAACAAATGGATGAAAACAAATGGAGAAAAACTGATTAAACCAGATGACCTATAAATTTTGTATATACCAACATCATTTCAGAATATAACAATTATATTGTAGAATGAGGGGAACAGTTAAAAAGACTACCAGAAAATTAATGACTATAGATACTAAAATTATATAACATCACCTTATTTAAAAACCAAAGATATCCAGAAATTATGAGTAATATCTGAGATTTGAAGGACTTTTACTTAACTCACATGTCTTAAAAGTTAAACAAGGAAAAGAAACCTTAAGTCTAAAACCATCAAAATAGAAGATGAACAAGGAATGTACAAAGCACAGTACAAAGTACATAGTACAAAGCATAGTTGAAAAATGAAATTAAAACAGGTGGAAGGAACATCTGGAATGAATGAACAATGGCAGGATTAGTTTTATATGCCAACTAATCAAAGCAAAAAATCCCAAAGAGCTCCCAGAAAAGTATAGGGGAAAAATGAAAACTATTTGGAGATTTTAGAATGGGTCTACATATCTAAACTCATAATTTATACGCTGATGATTCTGAAACTCAGTGAAAAACATTTTTATTTACAACTTCTCATTCATATTTTTGTTTTTTTTCCCTACTGAGCCTATAGATTATTTTGGTAGTTTTTATTTCTTTCAAAGTACAGTGGACCCTTCGACACAGGTTTGAATTGTGCAGGTCCACTTATATGGGATTTTTTTCAAGGTATGGATATTGGAGAAATTCAAGAGCTAACAGACCCCAAGGAGCTCTGGTATCATACTGCCTAAGGCATTTGACTGCTAACCAGAAGGCTGG